TGTATATTTCCTTCTGAAAGTGGGGAGGTTTGTGCTCACTCTCATCTCTTGCAGGAGTGAGTTGTACAGTCTAGGTCTAGCTCCTGTTAAAGTTCTGTCTCAGTCTCTGCACTCATGAGCCTATCTTTATTGGTTGACAATGCCATTGTTCTGGCAGAATGTACCTGTTGGATGGTCTGATTGTTTAGGAAGAGCAATTTCTCAGGTTTTTTCTTAGGGCTTTTAATATCAGGAGATTTTGAAGTCGACTCTGTATTTATTGGAGATCCAGTACAGAGAGTGGATTATTGAGCTGATATAACCCTGGTCCTATGAACACTAAGCCGAGGGGTGCAGTGTGGAGCTTTTTTAAGGAATGTAGTTTCATTCCTAGATATGAAATGCTAGAATCATGACTGAAGGTCTACCTCAGTTAACAATGGTCTGCTGACCTTTGTGGCTGGATCTTTACCCAATAGGATGGGAACAATTTTCTAGCCAGTCGCAGATAGAAGTGGGCATTTTTTGTTGCCATAGCTATTTTGGCATTCAGTACCAGTTCAGGAATCCAGAAGGACCCAAAAGGTGCAGACCAATTTAATAATCAGAGAGCAAATGCCCCTGATAGTTGTATGTATTATTGGGGAGACAAGTTCCTTGAAGTTCTTCATCCAGGTACCTATTTCGGTTTGAAAAGCTGCGAAGTTGTGTTTAGTTGATGTAAAGATGGTTGTCATCTGCTTGCACTTCAGGCCATGTGGTCTAATTAGCTTTCTTAATAGAAAAGGATAAGCCTTGTGGGATTCTGCAAGTGAAGGTTCTCAAGGTGGGGGAACATTTGCTCATAATAACCTTCTGGATTTGATATGTGAATAAGAATTGGTACCATTTCAGGGTGTTTATTTTTAGCCCTTATAGCTTCTGGGGAGTGGAATAGGAGTATTTGATTATCAACATTATCAAGTGTACAGAGGCCCAGAAGGACCTGTATGGATGTACTTTTCTTGTTGTCTACAGGCAGTAGGAGGTTGTCCAACAACAACAAATGGTTTCTCAGTACCATGCTCTGGCCTGAAGTCAGACTGAGAGAGCTGACAGTATCCTGCTTATAACAGGTGGCTTCCAAGTCTGTTTTTGCTAGATTCTAGATTTGTGTGAGATTAGACACTGGAAAATAGTTTGTCTGATGGGAGGAAGTTCTGACCAACCACAAGGTCTTTCCATCCTTGAGGTTCTTCATTGCTGTCTTTAGGACTAGCAGGATGCACAAGACTTCAAGAATGTGGATATATCCAGATCAGCCAGCATCACCACTCCCTGTATGGGTCCTGCTGGGCTTTGTGGTGAGTGAGACACAGGTGGCTAGACTAACCAGCATCCCTGCTGTCTCATCCAGTTGGTCTTGAGGAGTGCCCAAGTAAATGAAGGGAGGCTTTGTGGACCACCCTTTTCCCGTTCCCTAATAGGGCCCTTGTGTGAAGCTAAGATAGAAAGCAGAACTTCCAGACCATGTTGCAGCCTGTTCTTTCCAAGATGCCTTGCAGGATGACCTCTTATGAGTGAAGTGGAGTCCCCAAGACCTCCCTCTCTTAGCCATGAATGCTGGGGGGGAAGCTTGTACTATAGCCACCTGTGATCTACAGAAAGCCTCCCACTTGCTGGCCTAGCTGTTCTATCCTGCCTCTGGCTCCTTGACTTTGGCAGAAACAATTGGAGACTTGACTACAGCTTGCCGGTGTAGGGCTTACTCAGCAGCATTTGGAACAGATCATTATGTCTGTGATGCAGACATTTGTCCCCAAATTCTTGTGACTTCAGTCCACAAAGCAAGAGAAATAACTGCCCTAACCCTAATGCGTACTATCTTGTAAAGCTAAAATAGATTAATTCTTTTAGAACCAGGCTATCTATCTCACTTCCTTCTGTCCTTCTTTCAAGCAAAGGGCACTGAATTCACTGGATGTTATAAGGGCTTAAAATTCTTTCTCCATGGAACCTATCTTCTTTGAAGGGCTCAAGAGGAGGGAAAGGGCATCTTGCTAGGCTTCACTGAAGTTAATTCAGAAAGCTGTCAACACTGCAGAAGTCTCCTGCCTCATGGGGATTAATCACTCTTGGGGTTAACTACTTGAGGAGTATCCGCCTTATAGGCAAAAAAGGGATTTGTCACCTACCTTAGAGATCTGCCAGACAGCTACCTGGTGCATGTGCTACATATCTTTTCCACACACTACAGAGTCAATGTCCTTGCTTCTTTGGACATTCTATTGTCAGCTCAGTAATCCAAGAGTACCTAAACCTTGGATTTCTCATCAAAGGACCTTCTGGGGAGGGGGGGGGGGTTGGGAGGGGGAGAAAGCTACTGCTAGGCAGAGCCCTGAGTATCAGACTGGGTAAAAGTCACCAGAAATTTGTCTAACCTATAAATGCATTTCTGTGAGTGCCTCTCCTGTTCTGGGACACCTCACCCAAGCCAACCATTTCCAACTATCATACATATTTTTGTTTTTATAATAGCATAAACAGAGTTGACACAAAAATGTTGGTGGGTGGGCTCTCACAGTTACTGGGCTAGCTCCACCTGAGACCCCTCTCTTGTGTTTCCCAGTGCACCCTATCCACCAGGTGACAGCTTTCCAGTCTTCGCCTCTTGAGGTACAGTATCATGATTCTCCCACTCTAGGAGTAGGTCCTCGGGCTACATTCCTTGATTTTTCAGCAGGCCTGACTGTGATCAGGGCTGTGACCAGAGGTTAGTGCACAGTGACCAAATATTGCTTATTGTAACAGTAGGAACAGAGCTGCACAGAAGAGAGCAAGATAATTTGAGCCCACTAAACAACCCATATGCATGTCTAGCTTACTGTTTCCCTGATGAGAGTGGACCTGACTTAGTCACACTGTCTTGCAGGGTCTGTTTCTCTTTCTCTCTTCCAGAGGGCAGCAGCCCCTGACAACTGATCTTCCCTGTGTAGAACATCACTTTGGAAAACCTGTGTCCTTTTGGTCTTTAGGTTCCAGGCATGACAGCTATGTAACTCTTGGGTGGAAGTGGGATCTAGGCAGTCAATTGCTCAGCCTTGTCTCTTGCTGTGTTCGTCAGGCAGTGGCTTATGTGCGCCCATAGTCATGGATATTTTACCAACAGCCAGCTAGTAAATTGAGATAACCTATGTATTTAACTATGTATTTAACTCCCAATAACCCAATATAGCTACCCAGTACCTGTCCTTTACAACAACTAGATAATCATGTACAATATGTAGCATTCATAAATTAATGCAGAGCAACCCCACTTACATTCTCAGAGTAAGAGTTGTGGTTTCGGTTCCAAAACTCCAGCCAGTGGGGATGATCCATCTTCTTGGAGATGAGTAGGGCCATACCAAATTCATGGTCCATTTTGGTCAATTTCAGGGTCATAGGATTTTAAAAATCATAATTTTTATGATTTCAGCTATTTAAATCTGAAATTTCATGGTGTTGTAATTGTAGGGGTCCTGACCCAAAAAGGAGTTGCGGGGGGAGGAGAGGGGAGGAATTGCAAAGGGGGGTTATTGTAGAGGGGGTTGTGGTACTGCTACCCTTACTTTTTTCAGAGCTGGGCAACTGGAGAGTGGCAGCTGCTGGCCGGGTGACCAGCTCTGAAGGCAGAGCCACCACCAGCAGCACCGCAGAAGTAAGGATGGCATCGTATGTTATTGCCACCCTTACTTCTGCACTGCTGCTGGCGGGGCCAACAGCCGTCGCTCTCCAGCCACCTAGCTGCGAAGGCAGCACAGAAGTAAGGGTGGCAATACTATAAACCCCCTAAAATAACACAGTATGCATCCGATGAAGTGAGCTTTAGCTCACGAAAGCTTATGCTCAAATAAATTGGTTAGTCTCTAAGGTGCCACAAGTCTTCCTTTTCTTTTTGCGAATACAGATTAACATGGCTGTTACTCTGAAACCTAAAATAACATTGCGACCCTCCTGCAACTCCCTTTTGGGTCAAGACCCCCAATTTGAGAAACGTTGGTCTCCCCCGTGAAATCTGTATAGCATAGGGTAAAAGCACACAAAAGACCAGATTTCACAGAGGAAGACCAGATTTGACAGTCCACGACACGTTTTTCATGGTCATAAATTTGGTAGGGCCCTAGAGATGAGGAAGAGCAGCTGTTATTCCCATACAGGGTCCACTGTCCGCAGAAGAGGGGAAAAAAGAGCAAAGTGTAACACTAAAGTTTAACAGCTTTACACATGGCAGGACCCAATCCTGCTTCAAGTGAAGATCAGTTAAGTCTTATAAATGCTGTTGTATCACAATAGTTCGATAGCTTCTGATGAATGAGATTACAAGTTTATGATGTGGAACTTCGGTGAGAAAGTAGGGATTCTTAATGATGTATGTGTCTTGATTGTATGAACAACATACACTTGATAATTTCACAGTGGCTAGGGGTATTTGCATAACTATATGATAACATTAAATCAACTATTTTTGTCATGTGATAAGGCTAAAGTTTCTTCATCATTGACTTCTGAAAAATTTTGTACGTCAGCTGCTGCTGAATCATTTACTACGGTTTAGAATAAAGCAAGAGTTGCTAAATAATTGCCGCCATTGTTAATTTATTTTTCTGTTAGTTTAGAGATTTATCCACCGCTGCTTTTACATATACTTTATTAGATTATTTTTAATATATATTTCATGTTCATAGCAATTAATGAGACACTGATGGAAATCTGAAAAATGAGAATTGGTATTACATTTTGTATCAGCAGTCACCAGAAATATTTTTCTGATTTTTTTTAATCTGGTATATCTGATTAAAATTTGTGTCACTAATTAGTGCAGAGATAGGTGTGGAAGATCAGCAGATGGTATGGTACATTGCAGCAAAGTATAAAAGAGAAAAAACTTTTCAGCTGTTTGAACGTACATTAATTGTCACCCTAATAGGCAAGATTTAAGGAGCTATGCTTCTCCCAGGAAAATTTTAATTACTTGTAAATCTTTTTTTTCTGTATTGTAGCTGACTTTGGTCTTGCAAAGCAGAAGCAAGAAAACAGCAAACTCACATCAGTTGTGGGAACTATTCTCTACTCCTGGTAAGAATAAAATAATTATAGAACCTTCAAGTACAATGACTTCTCTCTCCATGGTTATTTTTCTTTGACTGAAATACGAAAAGTTTTTGAATGGAACAGTATGTGTTCCAAAACGGAATTTGGTTTTAGTGATTGTTACGTGTAGTGATCAGTTACATTATACAGATAAAAAAGTTAAGTTCCAAAAGGCATTTCCAGTTGGTGCTGATGGATTTGATTTGTGCTGATCAGTCAGTATTTGGTTGTAAGATCAGCTGGAAGTTGTTGTTGTTTTAAATGTTCTTTGATCCTTCCAAAGATAGGAAAGAATGACACACCTTTTAGTTGTCCACTCAGTTGCATGTAAATAGTGGTATAGCATATGGGGGTACCACTTTGAGCTAATTACCTTGACTGGCATTAAAATACTAGTAGAACTTGCTCTCTCATTGCAGGATGGACATTTTTGCTTCACTGCATGTGTGCATTTGGGAATTTCACTGTTTGATAGACTGGTTGTAGTGATCCCCCTTTGGCTGTGATCAAAACATGGATTACCCTTGTCAGTCCCTATGGTGGGATTCTATTGTATTTCACACAAGGATATCTTGACACTTAGAGGTTAAAAAACCAATTAGAAATTTCTTCCTTTATGTTTTCTTAGCTGTATGATTTTCAGTAATTTCACAGTTTTGCTATAAAAGTTTGTTGCCTTAGTCAATGCACTCTCTCTGACAAATGAGCTGCTTCTTCTTTTGACATCTATATTTGAGGGCAAATCAAAATTACGAACCATTTTATGTTAATTTACAATACCAAACCGATTACCGAAATTTCAACAAGATTATGTTGCCTTACTGACTAGCATTTTAATATCTCCAGCTAATGGAATGGTGAGTGGATCCTGTCCAAAAAGTTCAACTCAAAATGTGAAGAGTATATGTAACTGAGATGATCAGATGCATGTCAGATCTCTCTAATAAAAGTAAATGCTTGCAATGCAGAGTATTAAAAGATTTTTCTCTTTCATGATGTACATCACAAATCACAAATATACCCATTATCAAAAGCTGTTGTATTTTGAACAAAAGGGAGCAGGTTTTAGTGTCATTCTACATTACAGAAGATATTACAGAAAGCACAAACGCAGTTTTCAGCAAGTAGTAGTTGACGTACTGTGGACTGATTTCCAAGGCTGCCAATTAAATTAGGAATTGCTGCTAGTATTGCTAGAAAAGCGAGCTTCAAGAATTAGTTAAAGAATTGTTCATCTTCCTAATATTGATATATCATTTCTGGATTGGAGATTCCATGTTTTGCAATCTGACTTCTGATGAAAACTTTTACTAAGATTTGTTTAGCTCATTTCCCTATGTTTTTTATTAATGAAATATGTTTATAGTAACTGGAGTGGGAATTTTGGACTTTCCAAACATTCCGTATTCCCACACTGGCCTATTTTGGCTTTGTTGCAATACCCTTTTGGTGTAGGCCCTGCTATGCCCTCACTTGTGACCTGATGCTCATGCATCCGACTTCCTTAATGTCAGAAATTGGTTTCCTTCCCTTGGGAACTTCCAGCAAATCTTATTATGACTAGTGTAAATTACCACTTACAACTATTGTAAATAAAGCAAAGTTTATTTGACACAGGAGATAAACAAAAGAAACTGTGGGTAAATGACAGATAAGCAGGCTATAAATACCGCACACTGTAAGTTCTGAAGTCTAACGCTGTGATACGCTTAGCTACCTGTATCGGACCTTTTCGGGTATGTTTACATAGCAATAAAACATCCGCAGCTGGCCTGTGTCAGCTGACTAGAGCTCGGATTGTGGGGCTTTAAAATTGCAGTGTAGACATTTGGGCTCTGGCACCATGGGAGGCTTGTGGCTGCTGTTGACTTCTGTTCCTGGTACCACTTTGACTTGTGAATCCTTTTGCAGCAGTAATGGTAATTGTGATTCATTCTTCAGAAACCCCCAAATTTAAAATGGCATCCAGGAGTGAGTCCCTATGACTGATTTTAAACATCATTAAACATTCAGGTTGATATCCTGATCTCCAGTACAGCTGCTCTGTGTGTGTGTGTCATGGATAGCTGGCTCTACACCAGTTCTTTCCATCTTTTATAGAAGGTATGTAGGGTCATGGCTGGACAAAGGAGGTGTTGCTGAAGAGCTATAGGGCTCCAGCAACCCTCAGTTTCTGGAACAGCCTGTTTGGGGCAGTTGCAGCCAGTCACAAGTGAGAGCAGTTCTTAGGCTGTTCTAATTTATGCCTAGAACCAAACCCCCAGTTGGCTCCTGGATCATTGAGGTATAATGGTGTAGGGCTGCCTTCAGCCTTTCCTTTCCTCTCCCAAACATAGCTGAGCTAGATCTGACAATTGGACCTTTAACAATTCATCTTAAATTCCTATTTGAGCATCCTCTGTGAGTTTCTGTTTACTCATTTGAAGCTTTAAAGATATTGCCCTTAGTTTTAAAATATTGATTGTTCCTAGGTTTTTATGCCTGTCTCTCCTCACCTTGTTACCCCCAAACACAAATCAGTGTTTGGACTCTGGTGGTCCTCTCCCATCTGGATCTTTAGAAAGAGGCAGCAGGGTGAAATTCCACTTTCCTATTGCAGTGTCCCAGCATGTGGTCTTCTGGGACACCATTTGTCAGCTCCTCTTCTGCTCTTCACCAGAAATCATTGCTGCAATGGTCCTTGCCTTGTCTTCAATCAAGAAGAGAAGGCAGGAACTGGTGACCAATAGCCTCATATTGAAGTTATAGTAGTGTAGTTATATAATAATCCCCTTTTAAAAGGGCATTGAACTCTTTACAACCTGGGATTACGTATGAATGTTGGTAGGACTTGCAAGGAGATGAAGGCACTGGATGCTTCAAAGGAACCAGTTAGTGCCAACTGTTATAGTCGTCTTTTTTATATGGAAACCTATCCATGAGGAACTAGATGAGCTCCTCAAGTTATTTCACATAAGTCACTAAACAGCACTCCCAAAGACTCTATGAGTACTAGGACTGGATTGTTTTTGATGACTTATAAGAAAGGTGAAAGACTTTAATATAACCCGAATCCTGGCAATGCATATAGCAGCATCAGTATAGTCCCCGCAGAAAAAGAGAGAGAGGGAAGAGAAATACAGCAGTGTCATTTTAGAGTGGCAGAAATTGCTTTCTTCTGAATTGGTAGGATAATAGTTTTGGGTAGTTTGAAATACAATGGACTTCTGGGATGAATCCAGTACAGAAACAAATTAATACATGTCAAAATAAGTTGTATCTGATGCAAATTTGTTAAATATGGATTATATGTAGCAGCTGAGGTGATATGAAAAACATACCGCTGTATGTACTAAGCATGTTTGTATTCAGGTCTGACTTGTGAGAGGAAGTACTGGATCAGTTTGTTCGGGGAATTGTAAAAGCACTTTTTTTTAGCATCATGAAACAACAGCAGACATTGTTTTATATGTGACCCTATGTCTAGAGAGTGAGCTTATATAATTATGTTCTGTAATTGTTATGTTTTTCTATTCTGGTTCTTTGAACAATCATGCTAATTAAATTCCTTTAAATTGGTTATGTCCTTGAATTCAAATCTCCAGCAATATTATGTTTTGAATACAAAATATATTAAACTAATGTGTTTGTATTTAATGTATTAAAAATCGAGGAACTGAATGCCTTTGAGGACTGATAATGAGCTATGGAGCCTTTCACTAGACTAAGTTACTAGAAACAATCTGGCCCAAGTTAGTACTGATAGAATCTTTATTATCTGTATCTCTTGAGGGCATTCTTAGAAGAGGTGATAAAAACTGAATGGGTATGGAAAATGATTTTTCCTTTTCTATATGCTAGCCATCTCTCTGTTTCAAACACACACACATAAAGATATTGATTTTATGATGACAGCAAATCAAGTATAGACCAGTCGGCCTCAACATAAGTTAAATATTTAATGTGTATGTGTTAATCATGGATCTGACAGCTACTTCTGACCACCAGATCTCCACATGAAAAGACAAGACAACATCTGAGCAGAAATTGAAATAGGTTCTGATGTTATGATTGAATGTAGAGATCCTGTTCCTTTCAGTGACACTTTATTGGTATGGCTAGCTGTATAAATGTTGCCAAACTGACAAAGAAATAGGCCTCTCAAACACCCATCAAAGGTAGATATGCTCTACCTGTGATAAGGCCACACTCCGTCTTTGGGGTTTTAACCGTATGTCCATTTGTCATTACTGTCTATTCCTGATCTGTTGGCAAGTTGATGCGCTCTGTCATCTCCTGCCTTTTAGCCACCATCAAACATTTTTTCCTTTTCAGCTTTTGAGGAGACATCTTTTATGATTCCTGATGATTCGAGGAAATGCCTTTCTTGCTCTCCCTCACATTTTGGACCATGACGCAGAAAGTGCCTTTCTCAGGGGGTCTACAGTTGTTTAGCTGAGGGAGTAATAATGAAGAGGAGTAGATCGTATTTCCATTTGGATTTAATTTTTGATCTGGTTTGACTGAAATGGCACCAAAAGTTTAATAATTGTTTCTGAATGTTGATTAACAAAAGAAGAAGTTTTGCATGAGTGCTGTCAGAAAAATAGAACTGAACACATACACACACAAAAGAAAAAAATCAAGCTAAAAATTCCTTGCTTTGCTGTGACTTAGGGTACATTATTTAACTTTGCTGTTACCCCCCTCTGTAAAATAAATGTAATAGTGTTTACCAGTCTTTGTAAAGCACTTTGAAACTTATGGATGAAGAAGCTCTTTGCAAATGCAAATTCTTCTTCTACTTTATACTTTAATTTTCCATTTGTGTTTTATGAGCAGCAGCTTTTTGTTGTTTGTTTTTGTTTTTAGATAATCCTTTTGTTAGAATAATACTACAAAGTTAATGGAAGATTGATGGAAAAACACATGTATTATTAATCTTGTGAAAGAGGAAGAAAAGTGATCCTGTCTTTTCAATGTAACCTCTAACCCCAGGGAAACAA